CTAGATCTTAAGTTTTAGTACATTTTGATACATCTTTTTAATTTTTTTATTCGTACCGTTTTCTTGATGTTTGGTTTTTCTGCTACATTTCACTTTGCTATTTTTAAAATCCACCTCGCTGTGCTAATGTATCATGGCAACTCTAGCCAAAACACATGTGCCAGGCTCTACATTGATCATGACTAACTGGTTACATCTAATACAGTGATTGTTCTGCAAAACTAGGTATTAAGGACAATTCGTAAATACAGTGATATTTTCCTTTTCAGCCACTAAAGTATTTCAAATATTCGTGGTAGATTTCAGTGTTTAAAGTTACAATTAAAATTAACTGGGTATTTAACTTGAGATATTTTATTTCTTGCTTTTACAACAGGTGAATTTTCAGTTGAACCAATTGGTGATTTTTCATGGGTGATATTTTCTTTAAGTATACAGGTTCTGTATCATTTCTTAGTCCTACAACCTATTGCTTTGGTAAGTTAGATCTAACTCTGTATCAGAGTAAAATATTTTTTTAAAATTTATTTAATTATTTGGACACAAATATTAGTGCAAAGAAGCACCAAATACATATGCGCCATACAATAACAATGAGGCTATGAAGAGTTAGAGAATGTATAGTGCGTATAAGAAAAAGGAAAATAACAACGAACAGAAATTAGTGTATGATAGTGAAATAATAATGGGAGAGGCAGTTCAGTTAGGAAAAATACAATCAGAAAGAATGCTTTCAGTTAAAAAGTTACGTTCATTTTTTATGAAGAAAGTCACAGCAGGATTGCCACTGACTTCTATTTTTAGCCATGTCTGATAGCGTCTCAAGCCACTGTGTTGCACTATTTCTAGGACCCCAACCAGGGAGTCATGAAGGACCAAAGGAAGCCAACCCTGTACAGCTATCTTTCATACCTTAGTGGCCCGAGTTCTGACTTCAATCCGATCGTATAAATGACTGTTATTTAATTATATATCTGTTAGCGGAATATAGATTGAATTAGAGCACGTTCCGTGCAGGATTGTGTTGCTGCACGCTGATTAGCTATTTCTTAACCAGTCAGCGCTAGTGGATACTTGGAGAAGACTCTAGAATCTTCTCATATAAAAACTAGAAATTTACTAACGTTTTTCTTATTATGCTTCTTATTTCCATCTACCCTTGTTATTTGGAATAAGTTTCATTTCTGTCCAACCGTGTTCTGATTTGGGGACTTGTTAAATTGATTAGTGTTCAAGAATACTAAACAATAGGAATAACCGGGTCGTAATAAGAGACATTGTAACAATATCCCAGCTACTTTCGTATATAATCATCGACTTAACTCGCGTTAGTCAATAACGGAATTAAATAAGTCAAATACGAGAATGATGTTTGAGTACGTTTATTTCATACAATCGTTGGTCTGAACAAACAACCAGGAAACGGAGAGGAGAGAGAGAGAAGCGAAACTAAATGACACGTAGTGGAGAAGACGAGTGAGCCAACTCTATTTAATCAAGCTTTAATCGATATCCATAGTCACACACACAGACATGTGATGAGTAGGATAAGGAATCCACTCACATAGCCCCCAAATGCCCTGGTATGGCCGAGAGTGGTGTGGGTTCGCCCTCCCTCTCGAAATACTCTTACACGGCCACGCGTATACAGCCTCTGCCAGGGAAGTCCTACTCACTGCCTTCTCGCACCACGGGTGTTGTTTACGAAAATGAGAGAACGAAAAGCGAATGTCCGGCGCTTTAACCGGGTCCAAAAACCAATGGTGCACATGGGTTCCAGTATCCTGCGGGAACAAATGGCGTATGAACCAATCGTTGGTCACCGGCTTCCATGGGACTGCATCTCCTCACGATGCTCCACTGCCTTGTGGGTTAGACCTTTAGGTCATAGGCACGGGGTGTCGCCCCCTAAGAAAACCACCTGCTTCGGTTTGGGTACCCGGGCAGTATCCCAACCCACACACAAAACATGATGAACAGTTTACTAATGGAAAATATTCTTTTCGCCCCACACACATACGCTCGTATAAAAACAGTAAAGGTTGATAATCGAGTTGAGAAGAAAGAATAAATTGGCCTGTCCGGGAGCTAGAACAAGCTATGTGTGCTTTCATAGCGTTAGAATACTATGACACCAGGTTTCCCATGGTGGTCTAGGGAAGTGTTTGCTTGAATTTCCATTCACAGTAATGATCAAAACAAAACATATATAGAGATAGTTTACTAGTTGGAATTTTCAGCCTCTAAAAGGGGATATGTGGTCAGCTATTTACTACATCCAGATGACCAATTTTTGTATCTTTCATAGTTTTTGTCTCATACATTCTTTCTTGGTCGTATATTCATGTAATAATTTTACAAATTTGTAGGCTAATGTATATTCACCCTTAACTGTTCGTTGTTATTGTCTATCCATCCTAATTATCAATGTTATTGTCGTATTTTATAAATCAAGGTTTAATGTCGTGTCCTATTAGTTCATATACTTCTATTCATTGTTTTAAGAATGAATAAAATGGCTTATCGGGGCAATAACTGAATGATCACCTTTATTTTCAAATATTGAAACTAACATACATTGTTCAATTTAATAACAAGAATATTAGACTATTTCTGAATGCATTCTAGAAATATTATTTCCTTGTATTGTCTTTTACTTCTAAGATTGTAGCATAGCATGCTTATGTTTATTTAAAAGGTTAGATTTACAAATTTTACTGCACTGTTTTTAGTACTGTTTCAGAAAGTCATTGTAGATCTGCAGCTTTGTGTCGAAACGATCATCAGATGGAGTGTCTCTTTATTTACTTGCATTATTGACTATATAATCCAATTTGAATGTACGCCTTTTTAATATCAAAACCTGATTCCTACGCATTTTACGTGCTTATCAGAGATAAATTTTAGCCTCATCTTGATTTTCACAGTGATATGCTTGTATATTTCTAAACAAACAAATATTTTGTCGCGACAGTCAAAAGTATATGAATTTGAAATATAAATCTTTAAGTAACCTTACCTTATTTTGTTACAGATAGTTGTAGTCTCTTTTGTTAACTAGTGGTTCTACTTTGTCCAAACTTATAAAATACCGTTCTGTTTTCAATAGATTTCTTTTATGTTAAATAGTTTTGATAATAATATGACTTCCGTATCTCTGCTTGATTAAATACACGATGATGTGTGGTTGATCAAACAAAAGTATTTGGAACTGGATTATAAATTGCGATACAGTGGTTCTTCATAGATGGGCTATGTTAATGAAATGTACTCTGTTATTGGTGATAAATTATATTCTCTCATTGTCCATAATCATTAAACAGTACAAATGTTCTTTAAATATTTGTGCATTAATTAATCGGATCTCCAAGTGATTAATTTATTATCTTTTTTTGCAGATGACAGGAATAAATCTTAACAATATTCTGTGCCCAGCTATAAGCGACCCATTCCCTGGCCCAAATTATCGTTTATGGGCAGTCTTTCACCAGTCTGTTATAATATTAGTACTGGGAAAGATTTTTACTTTGTTTTTACTTCGATTAAACACACGAAAGGTGCCTTGGTTATATTTGAATTCTAATAAACATGATCAGAAATTTGTTATAGAAAAAGTACTTAAATCTAGTTCATCAAATATATCAGGTGGCAAAATCACCTCGTCTTGGTATTGGCCTGATCTATTCCGATATCATACATATCTTGAAGCTGATGCCAAAAACAATGAAGTTGTAAGCATATCCGATAATAAGGATTATTAGAAGCCGTCACCTGTATCGGTTATTATCTCTATAAACTCACCAAAAGTAAAGAATCTCCACCATATTTATTTTGTTATGCACTAAATACCTCGTTCTCTCTCTTTCCAGTTCTTTCTTGCACATAATGATTCCTCTTTTGATTATTGACCAAATATATATTCCATTTTTGCTATCACCGACTCAAATGAATAATTGTGATAACGAACTTATTTCTACTCCGAGTGTAAACCTGTGCAAATCATTCTAGCAATATATATCTTACCAATCGCCTTCTTCATCGTTATTTTCCGTGGTTGTTATTGTACAGTTTTTTGTTTGCTTATTTTTTTATATGCGTGTTTACACTTCTACAGACATCTCGTGAATTATACAAGATTGTTTCAGGTACTTACTATCAGTTTTCCATATTTTTCTCTTTTTTTAAAAAAGAATATTTGAGTGTTTTATATTCTGTATAAAAAAATAAACAAATGAACCAGGTAATAATTAATAAAAATACTTATCAGTTATTCGAAATTATCTATCCAGTGAATACTTATGTTTAGACTCCCTGTTGCTACTTATGTATTGCCCACCTTTTTATAGTCAGCTTATTTCGGTTGTGTCTGCTCTATTTTGTACGAACTTGATTTAACATTGAGTTGCATAAATTTGATTTCCTTTATTTTTGAAATATTTCAATACACTTTGTTTTTTCCGTGTTTCTGTCTACGATATGCATGATTTATTTTCAAAAATTATCTCTCAGTCTATATGTGTAGTCTGCTAATTGCAGAAAACGCCGAAGCGCTTCCAGCTGCTTCATTTGTTTTTTTTTTTCTAAGAAAATAATATACTCATTGATATTTATGCTAATTGTTCTGTTTAATAAATTTCCGTGTAAACGAATTCTAATAAACAGTGTATAAACATTATGTAGTATCGTTCTTGATTAATTGTATGACTGCCATTATTTCCTAGTTTGATCCTTTGTGATAAATATTACATCTGACACTGAATATTTGTATAGTTTCATCATTATATTTTATTCAATGTGATCTTAAATTTTTCCTTAATGTACAATGACTTACCCAGAAGAACTAAAATACCTTTAACCATATTAGTATTTTAATAGTTGATTTTAATTCCATTCCAACTTTAGAATCTGTGTTCATAGTGAAAAAGAATATTTGTTTTTTCTATGAACAGGAATTATTGTAATACGACTTTTATTCATGTCGAACTATGATTAGAATTTTGTCTTACAGGTTTCGATTTTCAAACCTAAGTCGTTCAGACAGGGACTCGAAGCACCCGGCATCAGCTAAAGTTTGGCCCAGTTCATAATATCCATCAGCTCTCATACTCAATAATTGGGGTTAAAGTCTTACACACAGGGTTACTTAGCACCTTCAGTCTGCTGTAAATAAAATCACCTAATGTTGAAAACAACCATGCCCACATCAGCTGATTAGACCGTAAATCAAATTAGTGTTTAGGTGTATATGTGATTCTCCAATATGTATGAACATACTGTGTAAATTTTCCCTATGTTCTTACAAATCAGAGCAATAAACCAAGGGAGCGTTTTTCTGTACCGAGTTACTAAACGAACAGATTGCAAGAAGTCACTTGTGTATGACTATTAATGCCCATTAGTTCAATCTTTTCTCCCGCCAGCAGTGATAATGTCCAAACATAGTCACATGCGTCAACACACTAAGTGATTAAATTTCTCATTAGAACCGTCATTCATTATATCATTTGTAGAGTCCTAACATGACTATAGCTATGATGAAAAATTTTACTTAGTCACAGTAGGATGACATGTTCTTTCCAGAAAAAATCACAATTTTGATACAAAAGAGTATAGCGTAGTTTTCATAACTGATTTCTGCAGCTTATATTTATCCTGGGAGATAAATTCATTTTTTTAGCAATGGCTCCTTTGACTACTACCGTGGATCAGTACAAATTATCTTCTCTTCCAACTGATGGTGTTACTGCTGTTCGTTTCCAACCTGGGAAAGCAGCTCCCCAATTCCTAGTTGCTTCAAGTTGGGACTGTACGGTGCGAATTTATGATGTGGCTTCAGGAAGTCAACGTTTGTTTTACCAACATAGTACTCCCGTTTTAGACACTGCTTTTTCTGATACTGTACACGTTGTCAGCGGTTCACTAGATGGAGAATTAAAATTATTCGACTGCAACACTAATCAGAGTAAGTTTTGCACCACTGAGTAAAAAACCCATCTTATTATACTATCTTTTGATTTATCTTCTAGTATACAGGCAGGTCTTCGAGGTGCAACTTCGCTTACTATCGTTCCTTCTCTAGTTACATCAAAGGTATATGAATGTCTGATTTACAGATTTCGTTAAGTAACAGCCCCTAATTCCTTTGTTGCTCATTCGATCTCAGTGCTCTCATTTCTGTTTATATAAATAGCTCCAAGCGATTATTATGGATAAAAGCTGACTGACTAACAATTATTTTTAAACTATGCAATCGTTTGTCAAGTTTAAATATATTTATTTGACACTCCAGAATAAATTGATTTTCATTTATTGCGCCACTACGATATAAATTAAGCAGTTCAGTAAAGCAAAAAATATCATTGAGATGATCTCACTTCCAAGCTTTGTGCAATCGTACAATTTACATGAAATGATGTGATAATATATTTACTTGCTTGTTTGTTTCATGGATATTTAGGTATGGGTGAGAAAGTGAGTGAAATATATGCGAACTTCTAACACTACTAGTAAATAATGTGAACAAATAAATCGATTAGAAAATATAACAGATATGGGAGACTAAAGGTCATAGACGTAAATAACTAAATACTGGAAAAAATTATAGTATAAAACTTTAAAAGTAGACCAATAAGGGTCGTTGAAATTTAATTAAAGTCAATCAAAGTGAAAACAGATTAAATGACATTTTATCAGAATGGGGAATTGTACAGATTGTAGTAATTTTCATCGTTGAATTCATGAGTCTATTTAAGTTAGACCATCATTGAAAACCTGGAAGCATTCAACGGCAATGGATAACGGGTTGTGTAAGATCATGGACCGATTGAAGTTAGACATTAACACCGTTGGATGCCGGCTCAGTAGTCTAAAGGTGAAGTGTTCGCGCACGAGACTGAAGGGCTTGTGAATACACACTGCTGGGGAGTCCTACATTATGACGAAACGGCTATCCAATGCTTCCAGGTTTTCAGTGGTGGTTTAGCTTGGATCGACTCATGAATTCAACTATTAAATAACATTTGTCAACATTGCATTGTGGTACATCGAAAATGATAAGATTTTCAAAATATTAATGATGAAAAACAAAAAAACAAAAGTTATTACAGAAGGACCTAAAGCTTAAACTACCTACACAAAGCAATAATTTAAACTATTTGTGTATATATCTCTGTAGACTTAGATTGTGCATACTTAACACTTTACTTACTTACATCTGTTACCCCTCCTGGAGGAGCATAAGTCGCCCAACAGCATTCTCCATCCAACTCTGTCCTGGGCAGTCGTTTCTGGTTGCTATTCATCCTTTTGATGTCTGCTTCCAATTCTCGACACAGTGTGTTCTTTGGCCTTGCTCTTTTTCGTTTACCTTTAGAATTCACTGTTATGACTTGTGCCCTATTAATATATGACGTAATGATACCACCAATTAGATACATTACTAAGATGCATTTACGAAGTGACCAAAAATATATGGTATACCCAATTGTACAGCATCAGAAACAATCCACAAATTGTCTACTTTGTTCAGCTGTTTTGGAGTCCCAGAGATTTTAGTGACTGACAATTGCTCATAATTCGTTGAGAATCAATCAAGTATTTTTGCAGTATAAATGGAATAATACATCTACGTTCTCCGCTCTATCATCCTCGATCGAATGAACAAGCAGAACGTTTTGTCGACACTCTTAAACGAGCATCGCTGAAAAGGGAGGCGAGGGGACAACTAGACAGGTAATTACAAAATTTTCAATGGCCTACAGAACTACTCCGAACCCAACTGTCCCAGATGGTAACTCTCCTGCTGAAGCCATGTTCGGAAGACGTATTCGAACTATTTCCAACGCCATGTTGCCACCCAAAATAGTGGATAGGCACAGACCAAATCTTAATATTCGAAGTTTTAACGTTGGCGACCAAATGTTCGTTTAGTCCTACCTCTGGAAGAATCGATGAGAATCCAAAAAACTCGTACAAAGATTGGGGAAAGTTTTGTACATAGTTTGAGGAACGTTTCGCACATGTATCACACACATAGATCAAATCATTGAAGATGAAAGAATGATGCATACTCGAGATAATCAGCTGGATCTTCTACTGGAGTTAATCTCAGATATATTAACGACACATTCACCCAAGAATACGGAAAAGAAGCCTTGGACCAGAAAGACAGCGAACAAAATGGAACGCCGTCGCAAACCAGTCGTCAGGCTACAAGTGGACCCAATCAATAAATCTTGTTCCGAGGAGATGTCTGGGTGACTTCTGGGAGCTACGACGGAGCCTTCAGAGACCCTAAAGGAGCCGAAGAGCTTCCATCCAATCAGAACGTGACGGAGCTTTCTAGAATATTAACGTGGCATCCCTTTATTGAAGAGTAGCATAACATGCCTCTTTGCTGAATTAAAATGTTGATATAACAAACGCTAATATCTATAAATACCCATAATTTTCCGTACATTTTGTTACTTACCCAACAAGCACATCTCCAGTCTCCTGTCTTCTCCTTTGCGACCATGGGGGTTCTCTACGTTCGAGTGCTGTAGTTGTATACTGTATTCTGCGTTAATCAAGTAGCAAGCTTAATAAGACCTTTCCTCGTGATGCAGTTAGTTGATCTCCGTAATGTATGTCCTATCCACCTCTATCATTCTTCCTAATTTCTTCTTCAGCTGTAAGCTGGGTTTTTCCCTCCCATAGTACGCTGTTGCTGATGGTATTCAGTCAATGGACATCGAGTATTTTGCGTAGACAGTTCTTTAGAAATACTTGTGCTCTTTTGATGATGATGGTTGTAGTGGTAGTTCTCCAAGTTTCAGCTCCATACAGTAAAACTGTTTTGACGTTCATATTGGAAATTCTGACTTTGATATTGGTTGACAGTTGTTTTGAGTTCCATGTGTTCTTCAACTGTAAGAATACTGCCCTTGTTTTGCCAATCCTTACCTTTACGTCTGCATCGGATCCTTCTTGTTCATCGATGATACTGCCCAGGTACGTGAAAGTTTCCACCTCTTTCAGGGCTTCCTCATCAAGTGTGATTGGGTTGGTTGATGTTTTTTGTGCTGTGTTTAAGGATCATGCTTTTTGCCTTATGTTTGTCGAGGTCTACTGATGCAGAGGCTCAGATCTCCTTTTTTGGTGTCTTGATAAGGTGTCATTCTTTCCAGTCCGTCGGCACTTGTTCTTCATTCCAAATCTTCCTGAATAGAGTGTGAAGCATACTTGCAGTTACTTTTATATCTGACTTCGGAGCTTCAGCTGATATATTGTCAGATCCATCTGCATTCCCACTCTTGGTTTGTCTGATGGCCATCCTGATTTCTTCTATCGTTGGTGGAATGACATTTATGGGAAGGTGTGTGTGCTGCTTCGATGTCCGTTGGATTCATTGGAGCTGGCCTATTCAATATTTCTCTAAAGGGTTCTACCCATATGTTGCTTTGTTCTAGAATGTCAGTGATTGGCTTGCCTTATTCGTCCCTGACCTATCTCTCTGGTTTACCATATTTCCTTGTCAGTTTCTTTTCTGTGTCACGTAGTTTTTTTCATACTTCCTTCTGTTTGAGCTTTTTTCACTTTCGTTGCTAGGTCTTCCACGTATTTCTGTTTGTCAGTTTTAATCCTCCTATTTACTTGCTTATCTGCTTCTGTGTATTCAGGTTGTACCCTGACTTTCTCTGCTCTTGTTCGACTATTGGTTTTTGCTGTCTTGTTCTTCCTTTCGTGGATCCTGCCCAGGGTTTTCATAGATTCCCATTCTATATGATGATGATCCTTCTTGCGGCCCAGAACCTCCTGACGCGTTGAAGTTAGTGCTTCCTTGATCCGTTTTCATTTGTTCTCCATAGTAGATTGATTGCAACCTCTCGTAAAACTGGTCTTTATGATCGTCGTCGTTATCATTGGTGGGTGCATAACATTGTATAGCATTGATTGTGATTCCCTGCTTTGTTTTGAATGATACTTTGATGATCCTGGATTCATGAGATTCCCATCTTATAAGTGCTTTACGTGCTTCTTTGGACAGCATCCTCATGAACAGAGTACAACAGCGTCTTTCCCGGATCTGTCCTTTGCTGTCCAGATTGGGTCCAATGGGTTTCACTGATTCCGAGCACTGACAAGTAGTATCTTCTCATCCACGTTGCTATTTGGTCGGTTTTCCTGGTCTCCCACATGGTCCGGACATTCCATGTACCTGTAAATCTTGTTACTCTGGTTGTTGTAAGGGGAATCGATCTCGTGACTTACGAAGAATCTCGGCTTTCATCATTAGGCGTCATAATTCTTTTAAATGAAGATCTTTCAACTCCGATGGCTGAGTTTCAATGGTGTAATTTGTTTTTTTCTGGTTAGCGTTCTTTAGCAAGGTTGTTTTCTGTGGGATGGAGTTCCTGCCCCCATGTCAAACGCTCATCTTTCAAATGGGTTTGAAACTGGAAGTAACTCTAGAGGAGCTCAAGGCGGAGTTAGATTTAGTTTATATTCAAATATTAATCTCAGCGTACGTATTTTAAGTTTTGTAAGAATTTGATTGTTATTTTTTTCAGAAAAAATGACCCACATTTTTTGTCTCATACCTCACGTGAGAAAGTTTAATTATAAAATTTATGTTTGAGTTCATACGTGGTTTTCACCTACATATTACAAATATACGTTCATTCTGATCATCGAACGTTTTTATCCTGACAGTGTTTTAAATATTCAATATTTTGGCCAAATATCTTCTTTACTTGTAATTTCAGATCAAACTTTAGGTTCATGTCTGAGAGCTATTAGTACGATGCATTACAATTCAAATATTCAGGCTTGTATCACAGGTAGTTGGGATTGTACTGTACGTATATGGGACCCACGTGCTTCTGTAGCATCATCCAATTCAACTGATTCAAAAGGTGGAGCACAAAGTGTTCATCGTCAACCTAGTACAGTGTATACGATGGATAGTATACGCAACCAACTGGTTGTAGGTACAGCCGGACGGCATGTACTAATATGGGATCTCCGTCAAATGCATGCACCTTTAGAACAACGTGAATCAAGCCTCAGATACCAAACTCGATGTATCCAATGTTTTCCAAATGGGCAGGGTTATATATTAGGTTCAATTGAAGGTAATGATATGTTAATCGACACTATCTTTTTATGGGTATTGTTACTGTTTTTTTTTATCTTTCCATCAAATGAATGTAATTATAAGTGATATTGAAGAAAATCATTGTTTGCTTCACTTTTTTCTCAATGGTTTCACACAGTGTTGTGATCACATATTGTGAACACATAAACCGCATTATAAAGGGATCGCAGTTCACTAGTAATGTTATGTCAAGCATTGAGGTTTATCACTCAACATGACTGACTGAAATACAATTGTTTTGTTTGAAAATTGTTTCCATCATTTTAAATTCAGATTCCTCAAACCAATAATATATATATTAATGTGTGTGGTAGGAATAAGTGGCATACACACTGTGGTTTGCGGTTATCAAATGAATTCAACACCTGACGAAGTAGTTCTGCTGCTTTGTGATTTATATTTGCCCACAGCTTTAATATACGATGTATTATATATTAAAGAGGAAAAATGTATTTGTAAAATCTCAGCGAATGAATTTTAAGTAAATCCAACGTTTCGCCTGGCAATCTGGTCCAAGCTTTTTCAAGCAAAATATAATCAAACAACAAAATTATCGAATATAAATAGGTACAAGGTTCTCTGGTTTACTGTATACTGAATAAAACATCCAATCAATGTGAACCCTGTTTGAATTAGGTATTTACAAAAGTGTGTAAGAGACTTGTAAATACCTACTTCAAACAGGGTTCACATTGATTGGATGTTTTATTCAGTATACAGTAAACCAGAGAACCTTGTACCTATTTATATTCGATAATTTTGTTGTTTGATTATATTTTGCTTGAAAAAGCTTGGACCAGATTGCCAGGCGAAACGTTGGATTTACTTAAAATTCATTCGCTGAGATTTTACAAATACATTTTTCCTCTTTAATGTCTCACATTAACTCGGCGCCCAAATATTGTGAAACTATTCGTTCAAATTTAGACAAAAGTTCTTATTGATGTATTATATATATATATACGTGTAATCATAATTCCGCTTGTTTACTATCATTTTGTTGTTTGTTTGTGTATTTAAAAGTATGTTTCACGTAGGTGTATCTTAGAAACTACGGTATTCGCGTCCCACTTCACCATCGTCGTCACCACACTAATGACCGAAATTGAAGTGACTATAACCAGCTGAGTTTCAATTGACAATTTATCTGTTTGCGGGTTACAAATTTTTCTTCCAAATAATGAGAAGCTAGCGATCTCAGCGTAATTTTATTATTTGTTCCTACATTATTCAATGGATTATAGCTCGGGTTTGATGAACCCTAACTTCTAAAGCCAACTGAGCAATTTTCGAGTTTTGAAGCCTTGATAAATTTCTCCGATACGTTGTTGAAAATGGTTTTCTGTACACTATTACACTAATGAATTGTACTATAGTCTAGATGCTGGTGGTGTGAGTATGTACATAACTCCCACACTTTTACAAGTGCATATCTAGATCTCAATGGCGAAATGCTATGTAGTTATTGTCAGACACATTGTCGTCCTTAGTGGAAGTAATCTAGCTTTACCGTAGCACCGAACGAAACAAAATTCTAAACTAGTTGCTAACTCACTGGAAAGAGTAGATAACTGAAGTATTGATGAAACTCACTTGTAGGTTCTGAGGAAATCCTATGTTTCTATGGGTTTCTTTTAATTGCTAAATATCCATAAATTGTTTCCCAGCTAAATGAAAACACATTAGTATAAACGTACTTGGAGATAAGATTGTCAAATTCTAAAACTGGTACAAGTTTCATCGAAAATCTTTTAAATCTTTTTATCCTACACAAACTGCAAAACGACTTGCTAGGAGTACACTGATTTATCACGATTTTTTTTCACATATCTAACTGAAATAATAAATCAAAACTATTTTACCTGGATATTGTTAGTCGAAAATTTTCTTGAAACAATTCAGAATATACTTTTTACTGTGAACTTACTGAATAACTTCATGTTCATGTATTTAAAGCAAGTTGTAAACATCTCGAGAGCTAGATTTAATGCAGTTGAAACATTATTCCCCATTTTATAGAAAAGAATTTTGTTTACTAGTTGAGATCCATTCTACAAGACAATGGACACTGTTTTTTCTTTATTTTTAGGTCGGATAGCTGTCGAAATGTTTGATCCTAGCCCGGAGGTTCAAAAGAAAAAGTATGCTTTTAAATGCCATCGTGTTAAAGAAGGCGAAAAAGAAACGATTTATCCAGTAATTGCCATTGCCTTTCATCAAGGATACAATACGTTTGCTACAGGTATTTGTCTTTCATGAATTCATTTTTTATGATTTTTCGTTGGTACCCTATTTTTGCAGTGATTCGTTTATAAAATGATGAATCGCAAGCTATTTACGAGATCAGACATAACCACTTTGTATATGCATTTTCAGGACATTTCATTTTAAAACTAATTGAATCTCCCATTATTTAATTGGTTTTGGAAATATTCGAAAAGTATTTTGTAGGATTCTTTGAGGTGATTATTCAAGTTGGAATGTCTTTCGGGATTTATACACTAGCGATCACCCATCGGTAAATGTTTTTAAATTACACTGTCATTTGCGATGTATTGGTTCCTTTCTATGGATACAAGTAGATTATGCTCTAAACCTTTCTGTATTTCTCGTTAAGCGTAATTAAAATATAGTACTTTTATTAGGAGTAGACTATTTTGATAATAATCTTCAACTTTTTTTTGTTTTCTTAATGCACCACACATTAATCTGACAAGGAATATAATATTTTATCATTTCTGTTTACCTAAAATTGATAGCATATTGTTTCAACAAACAGATAACTCTTTATTTAGATCATCGTTACCCCATTAATCAAATGAATTATACAAATAGATAGAACTTATCCAATCTATTCTTTGTCGTCCTAACTTTTATTGGCTAATCTTCAAAACAACAGATGATCAAAAACTTGCTACTAAACCATAAAATCAATTGTTTTAATAATTTAACTCAGTTATTCCAAAGTAATTTGAAGAAATTTTGATGTTAGATGTTTTCTTTTACTCTGAATCATTTTACAGTTGGTAAGATCACAGACTCCTTTTTCAGGTATTTATGAGGTGTTTTGTATTTTAGTTTTATGAGACTACTTCACAGACTGTTGAGTTTTAAACAGAAGACTGATTATTCCAATGCATTGTGGTACAATCTAATACCATGCGGAGTACTACTACTTTCGAAAAAGTCAATAAGCATACATAAATAGTTGAACTGCTAAATTTTACAAATGGAACAAAATGAGTGCTTAATGTCACGTAATTTACAATAGTTTGCCAAACATTAAGTTTTTGATAATAATCATTCTCATGCTACTCACACTTAACCTCGTCTTTCCATACTAGTGTTTATTATTCTGTTTTGTAATTAAAAGAATATTTTATTATGGTAAGCTAAAAGGGTGTTATTTTTGTTATTATTTGTAGATGTAAAGTCTGTAGGCTCATTGTTGTTTCAGATATCTCTTACATACAACTTATTTCATTATGTAAATAACTTCAAAAAAACTAATTGACTCAATTAAGGGTGTTAACCATTAGTATATTCAATCGTTATATATATAATGTTGAACAATAAGTGTTTTACTTTATAAGCTTGGTCACCATGGTGATAATTCTTATTCTGAGGAAAATGGCCTGGCATATTAAGGAATAAGCTAGCCGTTTTACAGGGTTTGTTAGTTGTTGCAATAAATTTAGATATTGTATCGCCAAAGTAAGACAGAAGATCATCATTCGGATAGATAATATATTTATTGATCAAAATCATCTTGCTACTGTGTAAACAAGATAACTTTCCTAAAATTTGTGTCAGAAAAATAAAATGTACGAATAACTACCTTTTTTATTTTAATTCTTTAAACAGTTGAGGTTAATTAGTATTTCACGATGATAGTACCGACTGAGTTATAGTTATTACACCCAAACAGACATAGATCAGAAATACGTATAACCAACTTGTTATATACCAGATAATTTATAACTTAGCTGGGGTTGCCGAAAATGACCCAGGATTATTCACTTAGTCCCTATATATAAACTATCACTTCAATACTAACACCTGCACCGCTAAACGAACTTTTCAACTGTTTCTGGCAGCTCACCACGAAGGTCGAATGTTCAGAGTATATCCTGTACTTATGAACTCCAACTATTTATTTATTTATTTTATTTTATTTTAACACATAAGTATAGGTACAGGGAGGCACCAAATACATATGCGCCACACAAATCTCAATTGATTTGTGTGAGGGCTGTGATACTGCCCGGGTGCCCAAACAGAAGCAGGTGGTTTTCTTAGGGGGCCACATCCCGAGCCTTTGACCTGAACGTCTGATCCACAAGGCAGTGGAGAATCGTAAGGAGATGCAGTCCCATGGTAGCCGGTGACCAACGATTGGTTCATACGCCATTTGTTCCTTCAGGATACTGGAGCCCATGTGCACCATTGGTTTGGGGTCCGGTTAAAGCGCCAGACATTCGCTTTTCGTCCTCTCATTTTTGTAAACAACACCCGTGGTGCAAGAAGGCAGTGAGTAGGACTTCCCTGGCAGAGGCTATATACGCATGGCCATGTGAGAGCATTTCGAGAGGGAGAGCGGACTCTTCCCACTCTCGGCCATACCAGGGCATTTGGGGGCATATGAACTCCAACTATTCAAATACGAGTTAGATCGACTGTATATAGTTGAACAGCACAACATTGTCATCGTCGTAATATTCTGTCATTACAGCTAATTTTAATTAAGAATAGTGTAAACCTTTTTTAGACGTCATAGTTTTATATTGGGTGTTTTAAAATTGTCATGTAGAGGATTTTATTGTGTCGATTATTTAAAAAATCTGCTTGCAGTTACTCAAATTCATTGAAATATTCTTTTATTATTTCTTCGCTTCGTTATACAGCATCCTTTGTTCCTCTTATAAGTTGTTTAGAACTATCATCAAAACATTGTTTGCTCATGCCATAATCACCAGTGATAACGTTTAGAGTATTTGATAAATTTAGTTCGTGAGCTTGCTAACCTCTGTGACTCATATAGACCCACTCCACAACGGTGACGTGCAATGCTGGCTAGCAAAGATACGGTTTTAGAAAAAAGACTAAGGACTGACAAACCAATACATGACATTAGTCTGTCAGGTAATTGACTTTATGTCAGCAAGTAAAATAATTCTGATCTATATTTTGAGGTCTTACGTAACATAGCTCAAAATCTCTCTATAGTTATTTTAATTTTAATTGCTGAATTTCATTTTTCCTTTTAAAACTATATTCAATATTTTCATAATTTTCTTTATTGTCATTTTAACTCCTCTAGTTTTCATCTTGTGAATTTCTTCATACTTTTCTAATATTATGTAATCACTCAGATTGATTTGCATTTGTTTCAATTCCTGCATTCATTGTTTAAAAAAAGAATAAAGAAAATTATGTATTAATAGCTAGTTATAGAGTATTTTAAGAAGTTTTTACTATTGCTTTTTTGAAAATCTGATAGTTGAATTCTTTGTTCCATTGTTTATTGTCTTTCATCATACAGTTACTCAATGTTATTTTGTTTATTGAATGCACTGTGTACATATAATTTTTATTATTATTATTATTATTATTTATATTGATATTTCATTTATGTACATGTGTAACATTTACATTTCATTGTAATAATGCTTTTAAACGAATAAATAAATATTTAAATAATTTTTAAAACGTTGAACGGTTGTTTTCTTTAAAAAAAAGGAAATTAGAATTTTGATGTATAAACAAATCTTCGTGTACTCACGTTTCATTTTATCATTAGTGATAAAATAAATCTTTATAATCATTTGTACAAATGTGTATATATGTGTTGTACATGTAAAACCGTATTCTTCTTCTTTTTTTCTTCTCTTATACAAATATTAGGCGGTTGTGATGGTATTGTAAATATATGGGATGGATTTAATCGTAAAAGACTTGCTCAATTATCAAAGTATCCAACTAGTATATCAAGTTTAGCATTTTCTGAAGATGGCAATTTACTAGCTATTGCTTCTTCATACATGTATGAACGTGGTCCAATTGAAAATGAACCAGAACCAACTATTTATATAAGAAGTGTTGCTGAAAACGAAGTCAAGCCTAAACATATCAGTAATACTAATAATGTTAATGCTACTGGTGGCGGAGGTGGTACTGCTGGAGCCAATGTTGGTTATAAAGGTTAAAGATAAAAACAGAAGCAACTATGAATTTGATATTTGTTTTTCCATAATCTTGTAAAATAAACATTTCCATACCAAATCATTTTGCTAAATATTTAAAAAATACATATATGTATCTATCAAGTCTCATTTTCGTGTAACTCTTATAAATATCATTTTCTGGAGATTGGATTTGTATATGAATATTAAACTATTTTGTTACATCAGATATAACAACAACATGCCACTTTAACTGTAGTTTATCAAACTTAATTTAGTAAGTTTTCCAAATAAGACGAAACGCGCGTCCTGGATTCCACTGCTAACCACTATCCATCTTTGCATATAATGCTTGTGAAATAAAGTTATATCGAGGCAGTCTGCATATATGCCAATAAGTGACTGATCACTTGCAGTCCTAAACAAACAATACCAAGTGAATTTAGTCTTCCAAATTGTTTGAAGCAGTGGCTTATTGCTTAAGGCGTTTGACTTTCAGTCACTAATTCCAAGGTAAGGAAACAAACTACTTAACCTATTACGACGTAGGTAACCAAGAAAAATAATTAGCCTTCATCCGTAGAGTGTGGCTCATACCGAAGTACCTGGTCAATGTCTCGATTTGTTGACTCAATACTCCATCTTATGATTTTCATATCTTACACAACTTTTGCTCCGGTATTAGGTTGGTTACAATTTGCTTATTCTACGAGTTGAAATCAATGACGATTTTACTGAAATTTTTATTTTAGCGATGAGACAGACATCACACTAATAGTTTTAAATGTAGTGAGACATTATAAGTAAATAAATATTATCCTACTGTTTCCAATGGTTTTTACCTGCATTTATCGTTTTATTACATGTATGAGTTAACTAATTAAATTTATCACTTTCAAGATTATGATTATTGATTCAGTTGTATCATAAGTAATTAAAAGTAGTGTTTGTTAACTATTACTAGAAGTCAATAGTTCACTTTTTAAAGCTAATGTGATGAATCATGTTTCTGAAGTTAACCGTAATGAGACAGCGGAGATATATTTATTGACTTAGTAAGGATCATTTGTTAATAAATGGAGTGGTTTTGTAACCAACCTTGAAATGAACCAGTAGTTGTAAAGGTGGCTCACATACGACTATGCACTAAGTTCAATTTACATAAATGTTTACAAACTTAATTAGATTTCTTTTAGCATGTGAAAGTACTAATTATTATGCGAAATTAGTCCATAAAGTGTTAAGCACATGAAAATGCACTATCCTTTATTGTAGAAAACTAAGCAGACATTTATTGTCTATTGAACAGTGAATTATATACTAACAAAATAATGCAATAAATTGTGGTACATCATACGTAGACTATTAACAATTACTAAATGATAAAACTATTATGTAAGATAGAATATTAGCTGGCAACTTCGTGGAGTGCAACCACGTCGGTAGATGAAATATGTAAAGCTTCGAGTACTGTGGTCCAAAGTTGCTCACAGTATTTTTAGTAGTCAAGCTCCGATACTCCGTCTATTTATATGGGCGAGCCTATTATTCTCTATTGTGTAGAGCTTGTATGTAAAATAATATTTAATTAGGAAATATTGATAATCATAATGGAAATGCTGTTTCTAATAGTAACCCAATGTGTCAGTTATCCTAGAATAACACCTTAAAAGTCATTTATCTAAAACAATGTTATGTTTTCGTATGAGTTCTCATTGCTTTTTTATACTCAATCCTCTTCTATCATATTTGTAGTCATTAAAAACAAATTAGTGTTCATTAATAGAGATACAATGTTTCTATGAAACTAACATTTCGTCGAAATCTCATGGATAAGATCAAGTTAGAATTTCTAAAATAACTTATGTATTTCCTTAAGTTCAGAATCAGTATCTACGTTTTAAAGGTAATAAAATCAGATTAACCAACTAAATATATAAGTGGTTTTTATTAATTATTTGGATTGTGTTTTATCTCAATCCAGTGATCAGTTCTTTGCTGGGTCTATTCAAACTTCAATAATTTAATGGTAAATCTTACCTAATGATGATTAATAATAAAAAGTTAAGAAATATAATTTTCTTCCATAATATAGTAGTATGATACTCTCTCAATAGTTTATTGTTTCGAAACATACATTAAATTTCCCATGAATTATTTTACAAAACAATATTCTTTGATAGGTATCATTACCAAGGTTCGACTTGATCATTTCGAATAAATTGAGAATTGGGTAGATTGTTATAAATAAACTAATATATTTGTAATATCTCAATGAGTAGAAAAACTAGATTTTCTGACGTTTCATGACGTAGTGTAAGCCACTTCTTCAGAGAATAAATAAATAACCAAATCAAAATTAATCCAAGTTTAAACAAAACAACACAAGAATATTATTTGATCAATCAAAAAACAGGTCTGAATAAATCAGTGACATGTCATTTCGGTCAAGGTGATTAATAAGCGACATGTATGTAAATTTGTGTGGATGTGTGTGCAATGATAAAGATGAAAACTGTGTGACCTTTATGGTGAAAAAGGATAGAGTTTAATCCGTAAGATAATAGTGTGAATTGTGAATAATATCAGACTAGGTGGCTAGGATAGATAGTCCAAGTAGGATCAATGGTAAGGCCTTATTTTCTATTGAGAGCAGTAGGATTAAGCATTATATGGAATGCTTCAGCTGCTCTCCTTTCTTTGTAATTGGGAAAAATCTTTATAATATTTTGATATTTTTGAAATTGATTTGGTGGTCGTTGGAAATGTCGTGAACTGCTATTGCCGATTTAATTTGAAGTCTATCTAGTTCTACAGGATTATTAGGAGGTTACTTTGTGTACCTAATATGTTCTTTGGCACGAGTCAAGATTTCGCAAGATGATTCTCCAATATAGAAGGCATCACAATCGACACAACCTAATTTGTAGATACAATTCTGTGTTGACATGAATAGGATATTTTCTTGATTTGGTTATTCACTCTGTGAAGAAGTGGCCTACACTAAGTCACGAAACATTAGAAAATCTAATTTTTCTACTCATTAGGATATTACAAATATATTATTTATTTATAGCAATCTACCCAATGCTCGATTCAATTAAATTTATCAAGTCAAACCTTGGTAATTATACCTATATATATAATTATTTATTTAAAGTCAACATGATAATACTAACAAATCTCATCCCATGTACACTTATCTTTTAGACAGCTGTAGCAAGAGTCCATAAGTCTGGCCTTCTAGGTCAAACCGTAATGTCTGATCCAGGTAACTTAATACAGTCTATCTCTAGATTGCATGTGTGTCTCATTTTTTTTGTTCGATAAATTTCCAATACTAGTTCTAATCCCACTTCGTTGTTTTGAGAGGCTTGATCGATCACTATCCACTTTGGTTTTCAGCAGTACCTGAACATTAAGGGAGTTGTGTTTTTTCCTTACGTATAAAGTTTATATCTGTACATTGTTGATGGAGTACCTTTGAGATAGAGTCTAAAAGCTTTGTTTTTATGGCAATTTAATTTTTAAAATTTCTAAAGTTCAGATGGTACTTGATGAATTCTAACATGTTTTTCAATATCATTAACAATAATAAGTGTTGACGTCAAACTGTGAAAAGTAACATACTAACGAGAAGCATCAGAATAGATAGGAACGTTCATTGTATCATAACTTCCATTGATTATTCCATTAATTCTTTAAAGATCCCCATCATATTAAAAGACTAATATTTGATTAATGCCTACTTTTAAGAAAACTAGGTTTTTATTTGACATGTATATCCAACCTATTGAGAATATGATTCATTTTAACTTTACAGAAAGGTATATTGCGAAGGCACCTCAACTATCTACGTTTTTACATCGCTTAGTAAAAAATAATAAGAAATTATTTGTTATTTCAAACAGTTCAGCTGCCTACACTAAGTCACGAAACATTAGAAAATCTAATTTTTCTATTCATTAGGATATTACAAATATATTAATTTATTTAATATTCTTTGATTTTTCTGGTTAAGTTAAATTTCATCAAAACAAATAAATTATTACCCTGTAAGTTTTATAAAATAATTATCTGTTTAAATCACCTGATAAATTCATTAGTTAATATAAATTAGAACATTATGAATGTACTTTTATTTTTTTTTATAATAATTGACCTATGAACAAAAATATTTTGTAATTCATTCTCTAATAAATTTTATTAGTGTATGTGAAAATGTAAAACTTTTTTTGTTTTAAATATGTTATTCTGCTAACACTTCCTTTTTAAATAATACTATCGAAATGAATAGATTATATACTGTTGATTTTGTCAAGTATTGCTTTCTTTAAAGATGTTATTTACAAATTGTATGATTATTCATACAAAATATTTCATTTTATTAACATAGAATTATTATAAATAAAATTTCGATTGGAATAAATTTTAATTAAATACAGTGGTCTTGTGGTTAAGCGCTCGCGCGCCAGACTGATAGTCCTGGGTTCGAATCTCGCGCGGGGACGGGATCGTGGATGCGCACTGCCGAGGAGTCCTGTACTGGGACGAAACGACCGTCCAGTTCTTCCAGGTTTTCCATGGTGGTCTAGCTTCGATTGACTCATGATTTCAACTATTGAGATTACTAAAATTTCCACAAAATCCCTTCTGATAAATGCAATAACATTCTTATGTAAATAGTAATAGTATCCCAAATGATTTCAGTTTGCAACGAATACTATCTATAAGAAATTATAAAATGGAATAGTATTAGATTATTAAGTTCTGAACACTTTTTGAACTATAATTTCGGTAATATATACTAGAAGACTGATTATTACACTTTTTGAGAGGCCACCTCTACTTCTGTTAGACTCTAAATAAATTCCAGTGTCAATCGATCAGTTCAACTCCTTTTAGTTATACATATGGCTTGTTCTCATAGATTAGTTGTCTTATGTACTATAGAAATTAATGAAAGATTTGGCTCATTTCTAAATGATTTGATTGCTCGTGATAACTTGATGAATTATTATTAT